AGGGGGGCGCGGCGCAGGCGGCCGCGCAAGCTGGAGGAGGAGGAGGAGGAGGAGGAAGAGGAGGAGGAGGGGGGCGAGGAAGAGGAGGAGGAGGAGGAGGGGGAAGCGGAAAAGAATGAAAGCGGACAGACCGCTATAACAAGCAAATCTGGCAAACCCCAAGCGGCCAGGCCGCTGTAGCAATATTGGCGAACGCATGCAAGCAGACTGGCCGCTATAGAAAGCATCAAGCAAAGCGGTTAGGCCGCTGTACCAAACGTGGGCATGCTGAGATGATGCAAGCTTGCGTGCAGATGCTCGTATACGGCCAGGGCTGCTGACGCGCAAACGCAGCGATGAAAGTCTGAGCTCTGGCGCGATCACTTCGTCGAGAGAAACTCGTGGCCACTGGGCGCGTCCACGTTGGCCTTGCTGCGCGCGTCTTTGCAGGTCTTGATGGCCTGCAGGCTGGCCCGCCTTCCTTCCCTGTGCGCTCCCCTGCGCCCCTCTGCATGCACTCCCCATGCTCCCCGACTCTCCCCTGCGCTCCCCTACTATCCCCTACTCGCACCTATCCTCCCCCTACTCTCCCCTACTCCCCCCTTTCTCCTGCTGCTGCTGCTCCTCCTCCTCTGCTGCTGCTGCCCCTCCTCCTCCTCACCCGCGAAGTCCCCCCCCCCCCCCCCTCAGATGGAAAGGCCTCCTTCTTTGTCGCCTGCTTCGTCTTCGTGGTGCACGGGGAGCTCATGGAAGCCTGCGTGTCTGCAAGGTCCATGAAGCGGACGAGGAAATTAGAACGCGTTGACTCGTCGTACACGCGCGGCAACTTCACGGAGCCAGCGGCCGCTGGCTTTTTCATAACGGGTTTTGCAGCCTTCTTGAGCTCAGGGGGTTCGCCATCTTCCTTCCTTGCCCTCTTGCGGTCGGCCTTCTGCGAACCGTAGGCCTCTGTGATCCTTGCTGCTGCTTCGGCTACGGTCAGCTTGGGCTCGGAACCCGTCAGGGCGTTAACGGCAGGCGCCGCTGGTGCTGCTGGCCCGTCTGCGAACGGTGCTGCAGCTGCTGCTGCTGCTGCTGCTGCTGCTGGTGCGTCTGCTTCTGGTGCTGCTGCGGACGCTGATGCTGATGCGCTCGGTGCTGGCGGCGCTGCTGCAAGCGCATTTGGCCCTCGGGGAGGCGCCAGCGCTGCAAGCGCACCTGGCGACGCGGCAGGCTGGGGTGATGCAGCAAGCGCTGCAGGGGCCGCTGCATGCTGCATTGCAGCGCTGGCCGCCTGAAAAAAAAAGCTCGGACTTTGCGCCGTCCCGCTCGGCGGCCCTGTGAGAGATTGCTGCAACACCTGATGGATCTGCGACTGCATCGGAAGCAGCGCCGGCATCATCGACGTTACCAACTGCGCGACCATCGCAGGCGACGCGCCCTGGCTCGGCGGCAGTTGCCGATGCTGCTGCTGCTGCTGCTGCAAAGAAGGCCATTGTGGAGAACCTTCAGGACTCTGCCTCGGGACAGCTGGCTGCGCCCCGCGGATGCTCCACGAGAAGCTCGCAACGCTTGCGGGCCGATATGAACGATGGCGCATCTTGGTAGTCTTCTTGAGGATGTTCCAGCCGACGGGGTCGAGATCGAAACGCTTCGGCGGGAACACACTGTACGCCCGCTGGTACGCAGTGGGATAGTCGTTCGCCAGGATACTAGGCACCGTCGGCAACTTCATGATGACAAGATTTGGGGTCGTCAGCTGACGCGCGGCCACCCTCTCCGCGAATAGCGCGCCGACGGCCAGCGCAGAGTCCGCCCTTTGCGCAACGTCAATCTGAATTGCGCCGTCAAGACACCTCCCTGCTTGCATGAGCAGGCAAGCCATCGTCTGCTTCGTGGGCTCTGAAGCTCTGCGGAGGCCGATGTCGATGAGAAAGTCGAAGAGGGGGTTGGGATCCCTCGTCGGCAGGGAACCCCAGATTGCCTGGGGCAAGAACTCCTGGAGCGACCCCAATCCTGAAGGCCAGCGACGCAACTGGCAGAATCGCCGTTGCTAGCCAGCTCCGAGATGCAGGCGGCGAGGGCTGTCTTGTCGGCGTCGGCGAACTGTGACTCCGCGATCGCCTGCAGAATCGGCTGAATGTCCTCTGGAGGCAACCTCGCCTTCTTGAGCTCCTTAACCACCTGCCCCGCTTGCGCGGCCGACGCCGCGGCAACCTGCAGCGGGTCGCAGATCGACTGCAGGATGAAGCCGACTGCGGAGATGCGCCGCGCAATCGCAGGGGCGTCCATCCTGCGGCGCAACCGTCAGCGGCGACTATAGCCGCTCTTGAGCCGTCGCGTTTCGCGGCTGCGAGCGCACGCTGCGGCGCGACGCTTGGATGGAGAGAGGCTGCGAAGCGGTCAGGCCGCTGATAAGAGGGGCCGTTCCCGGTCTTGCTCCTCCCCCCCCTGCCGGCCCCTCCTCCCCCTCCTCCTCCCCCACCCCCCCTTCATCCCCCCCCTCCTCATCTTCATATGCTGCGCGCAAGCACCAAGCGGGCACGCCGCTGCGACGCCCGAAGCGACGCACAAGCTGCGCGAACCAACTAGTAAAGATTTAGCGGTCAGACCGCTGTTACAAGCAAGGGCGCATAAACGCACGTCAGCGGTCAGGCCGCCGCAACAACTGAAGCGGCCAAGCCGCTGCAACGAGCAAGGGCGACATTGCGCGATATGGAACGCGAAACCAAACGCAAAGCGGCCTGGCCGCTGCGAAAGTCAGGGAAGAAGGAGAAGGGAAGGAGACAAACTGATACTATGCAAAGCGATCTGGCCGCTGTAGCATACATGGAGGAATAGAAGAGGAATGCAAGATCTGGCCGTTGTTGAATACATGGAGAAATAGAAGAGGAATGCAAAGCGGTCTGGCCGCTGTAGAAACCATACAGGAATAAAGGAGGAAGAACGAGAAAATGTGCGAAGCGGTCTGGCCGCTGTAGAAAAGTACGAGGCACATCATGGAGGAGGAAGAGGAGGTATCCAGCGGATGAAGAGCGGGATCCCCCCCGCGGCGGCTCGCGCGGCATGTGTCAGGATGTCGAGCTGCAGGTAGTAGAAGCCGCCCAAGAAGAACACCTCCTCCTCCCTCCTCCTTCTCCTTCTTCTCCCCTGGAGCACAACGTTCTGGCGTCGGTCAGACTTGCTTCAATGTCTGAATTTTGAAAAATACAGAAAAAGTAAAACAAATAATGAAAAATAGTGAAAATAGTGAAAAATAAAGGAAAATGATGATAGATAGTGAAAACAGTGAAAAAATAATAATGATAAAAATGAAAAACATAATGAAAATAGTAAAAATAGTGAAACAATACATATGTTTAGGGATTCCAAGTTCAGCTGATGATAGGACACTGTAAGCTCCTATAGATCCTATAGTGAAACACAGGGGGGGCGATCGGGGACTATCACTATCGGCATTCCTATGGAACCTAGTGGGCCTCCTATCGAATCCTAACTCATCCAAACCTCTCCTAAAATAGAACCGCCTACCTAACCTATAACTACTTATACCTGCGCACCCATCAAAGCGAGGCCTGAAAAATTGCTTTTCTCTCCCAAGGGCCTCCGGCGCCTCCAGGGAGCTCTGGAGCTCCCGGGAGCCGAAAACGCATTGTTCGAGGCCTGAAACATCGCTTTTCTCTCCCAGAGGCCTCCAGCGCCTCCGGGGAGCCTTTGGAGCTCGCGCCTCCAGGGGGCCTCCAACAACGCGCCACTGCGCACATCCGGCCAATCAGTCAACCAACCTCCTTGCTCCTGCTCCTGCTGTTCCTCCTCCTCCTCCTCCTGCTCCTCCTCCCCCTGATCCTCGTCCTCTTCCTCCTCCTCCTTTTTTCTTCAACGGGAAAAAGCCCAGCGGCATCGGATCGGCGCGAGTCTGTGGGCAGCGAAGCCGAACTGGAAACCGGCGGATTCGATTCCCTGGGCCGGCACGAGGCGCCAGCGAGGCGCCCGCGGCGAAACCGAATCAACCGAAGTAACCGCAACAACCGAACCGACCGAACCGATCGATACTGATCGACACCAACGCAACCGAACCGACCGGCTCGCGGCCGTCCATGTGGATTATGCCAAAGTCAGAGGAGGGGAGCATGAGGGGAGACCGGGGGGGCGGCGCATCGAATCGAAATCGAATCGGATCGAGATCGAATCGAAATCGAATCGGTTTCAACCTGCGCCGAATCGCATCGACATCGAATCGGAGTCGGGCGCGCCCGCATCGGATCGAATCGATCGAACCTGAATGATCCCTGAGGTGTGACTTGAACTGCAGCAAATTGACCAACCGCGGTTGGGTCGCAGCCAAAATGGCGCGGCACTCTGCCAGGGTGTGACCAGGGGGGAGCCAACTGGTGGGGACACTTTTGTCGGCAACCGCAGGCGAACGCGCCAGCGGCGAGTCGAGTCAGAGCGGGCCACGCAGAGACGATTGATGGGGATACGTTTTAGTCAGCGGCCGCGGGCGAGCGCGCCAGCGGCGAGTCAGGTCAAAGCGGGCTACGCAGAGACTAATTAGGCAGAGGCGGCGCGCTGATTGGTGGGGATACGTTTTTTTGATTGGCGGCTCACAAGGACAGCTCCAAGGAGCGGGACGGTCTCGGCTGGGGCGCAGGGCGAGAAAATTAGCTGCTGGGCTGGTGGGGATACGCGAAGCGTCAAACATTTGCGACGGATCGCGCCGATTCTGCACGGAAACGGGACATGCCGTTAAACCACGCGCCTTATGAGCATCGCTGAACCGATCCCAATTCCCACTGGGGTGGCATTTGCTCCACTGGCCGACTTACTCACGTAGGTGGGGATGTATGCCTGTGCATTCGGGTTTCGCGGGGTCTATCCCCACCTGGGAGGGTATGCCAGTGGGGCTGAGATACCAGTCCAGTGGGGATGGGGATCAGTTAAACGGTGCTGATATTGATTCATGCTGGCGTTTCCTCGACAAAAACAGGGCGCGCACCCCGGCCCCCCGCGGGTGTTGGCCCCGCGTCCCCCCGCATCCGCGC